TACTCAAGCTACAGCGCATTACGGATGTGAAAGCTGATATGTTATTTAAAATCGAATTCATAGGCGTACAGTTATTGTTACCGAGGGGATATTCTTGTTTATCTACAGTCTTATATATTAGAACAAGTAATAGGTTTATTCCGTGCTGAAAAAAAGAAGAGAACACAACGTTTCGGCCGTGGAGCCTTCTTCGGGTGACATGTCTTATATATTAGTTTGTCTTGGGTGCATAGAGGTGTCAATATCTACGCGAAACGTGGCGTTCGGCTTTTACACATTACATCGTGACAACAATCTTCGCTTGGCCTGATGTGTGCTCATCGGATTGTTTCTGAGAAGTATGTTTAAAAGGATTGTGATGAGCACGTTTATGAATCAGGCTCCCAGTTATGTTTAAACGGGAACTACCGGGTACGATTATCTATCTTCGGAGTGTACGGTGTGTCCCAAAATATTAAATAAGCTTAACGTGCCCACCGCATCACGTGTGGATGTTTAACAAACAGTCATGTTTGCCATGTTTAATTCTATATAACTGCGCAAAAAGCCAGTTTAATGACCTAATGACAAGCTCACAGTCGACATTTTGATGCATCAGTTAACTTCGCTAAAGCGCTCAGCATTGCAACCCCACCTTACGGGGATTCAACGTGACTTTTCCTCCAGCCAATGACATTCGCCCCCCTCCTCCTCCTGGAGAAGGCAGCGTCCAATCAAAACGTAAATCAATCATTTAAATCGACCAATCACCGCTCGCAGGCGGGCCCCTGCGGCAAGAAGAATGGGTGGGCGGAGTGGTGAAGAGACCAATCATAAGGCGGGATGGGACTGTAAGGCGGGGCTTCCGCCTGTGTGACGAACGAGGAGCGAGCGAATAGAATTCTCCTAAATGGTGGTGCGTGGGCGGTGCTTATGCAGACCTGAAGGGACATTTTTTTTTCCTGAAAGCCCTGCCGCTTAAAACCAGGACTGCGGCTCTAGTGAGCTACCATTTGGAAGCAGGAAGTGTCGTGAGTCTCTTTTTTTCCTCCCTCTCTCCACCTTCTTATTGCAAGCTCGAGATCACCCCACGGCAAAAGCAAGACCATGAGGGAGATTGTTCACCTGCAGGCCGGTCAGTGCGGAAACCAGATCGGCGCCAAGGTAGGTGTTGGTTAAAGACGGACGGGTTCCGAAATGGAGCCGGGTTGCAACGCTGGGCGTGCGGTCGCAATGCGGAAATTGATTCAAAAAGGCCGTTATGGCGGTGCTCGTCAAAATCCAGGGTAGGCCTGACACGCCACAAAGGATCTGCTTGTGATCGGGGTCCGTGTTGCAGTACTAGAAATGCATGAATCTCAATTTTTGCTTATCTGTCCTTCTTTAGTGTTGGGCATTTTAGAACGATTATCCGTCTTTACTGCGCCTACAGTCTGTTTTCATCAGGATTTGTTTCTAACTGCATGACGGAGATAGCCCCCCCCACACCCTTCTGTTGTAATATATGCATTTAACACCCTCGACCCCACCACCACCACCAACCTGTTCGGATGATTTGGCGAAATGTTCAGTGTTGGCAGACGCCTCCTGAGGTGTGTCACTGCGTAAGCCGCCATTCTGCCATTCTTGCTGCCCGAGCGCGGTTTCGAAAGTCTTCCCGCAACAATGGCGAGCGACATTATTTTCTGGATTATCGACGAATGTCGTATTGCGGTATACAGGGCGCTGTACTGGAGATATAACAAGTTCGCAGTCCCCTTTTAAATCTGCCTCTGCATTCTTGCCATTTTAGTAATATTTTTTTTTGGCTGGATGTTTTAATGCCATCGGTCCTTTTACTGTTTTTGTCCCCTGTAGTTCTGGGAGGTGATCAGCGATGAGCACGGGATCGACCCGACGGGCACCTACCATGGCGACAGTGATCTCCAGCTGGAGAGGATCAACGTCTATTACAATGAGGCCTCAGGTGGGCAGTTTAAAGCTGAGCTGTGGTTCCACTCTTCTGTGGTGGCGAATGGAATAAACAATAAACAGGACGGTATTTTGCATTTGTGTGCGAGAGGAGTGGTGGCTCAGGACCTGTGGCTGGAAGGCTGCTGGTTCGTATCCTGTGGCCGGCAGAGGAATCCTACTCTGTTGGGCCCCTGAGCCAGGCCCTTCACCCCAGCTGCTCCAGGGGTGCTGTTTAAATGGCTGACCCTGCGCTCTGACGCCCAGCTTCTCTCCCTGTCTGTGTGCCTCATGGAGAGCAAGCTGGGGTCTGCGCAAAGACAAATTCCTAATGCAAGAAATTGTACAGGGCTAATAAAGTGATCTTGGAGATCCCCCCCAAGCACTAGAATTGTTTGCACTGGCCGAGTTTTAAACTTGGCCATGCCATAGTTACAGTCGTGTAAGTTTAGCAGGTAAGCAAATAAACCTGCAATTACAAGCCTTTGCATTGCAAAACAGCCGAGCCCTGTGGCAGAGATGGTGGAGAGGGCTTTATCTACCCAGCTGTATGACATCATTGCTCTTTGAACGCTGTCGCTTATGACATGGAAATGTGTTGGGTTTTTTTTTTTAGTTTTCTGACTGCTTGGGTTTCTGTCCACAGTGGACATGTGCACTCTGTTCAGATTATACAGGGGGTCTAAATGTCCCCTGTGTGTATCCCCCCCCCCCCCCCCTTGCTAAGCTGCTGTCCCAGCTGGGTTGGGCCCCATCTCTCCACCAAAAGAACAAGACTCTGAAGATCAGTGGTGGATTGAAAAGGGCTAATTAATATAGCATAATAATTAATTAAAGTATAATTAATATAGCACAGGGATGGCCACCCCTAGACCTGGAGCAGTGCAGGATGTCCTATAGTACACCCTTAAAGTTCCACCTTCAAAAGCCTTGTAAAGCAGCAGCAGCATTAATCCAATAATTCCAGGTGTATTTATCCACGCACGAACAGTGCAGCACACAGCGGTGTTGTCGGCTGTGAAATGCTTTGTCCGCGAGCTCGTTAAGAGGGGTAGCAGGACAGACGTTTATAGGGATTAGGTCAAGATTAAGATGTAATAAATTCTACCATTGCAAATTACAGATTGGGCGAAAGTAACACAAGGAGATATGGTAGGATGGGGGGTATTAAGCGCTGTTCATATGTGTCCTGAGAGTGCAAAGTGACAGGAGGTTGCCTGTTCACCAGCGGCCGTTTGGGTAATCGCAGGTGTCTGCAGTCCATTTCGTAGGTTAGTTGCACCAGTGGATCGGGTAAGTGCTTAATTGAGCAAATTGTTTTAACGGGACACCTGGAAACGCGGCTGGACCGTGGCCCTGCGGGGTTGAAGGGGCCAGCCAGTGGGCAGAACCCGTAAAAACGGCTCATTTTGTTTCTCTCGGACTGGATCTTTCAGGTGGCAAGTACGTGCCCCGTGCCGTCCTGGTGGACCTGGAGCCTGGCACCATGGACTCTGTGCGATCTGGGCCCTTCGGACAGATCTTCAGGCCGGACAACTTCGTCTTCGGTAAGCGCCGCGGGTGCTCTTGGGAGAAGCTTTGCACAGGCTGCAATTGAACCGCCTTTGTGAGCGAATTAAGGCATCCTTTGTCCTCTGAAACCATGGAGTGTAATAAGTGTAGTGGCCAGTGCCTCTTCCTTGATTGATGGATGAAGGTTATTTTTGCTGATTAGCTAAAGTTGTCTTATTGTGAATAATGAGTGCGTTTTTAATTGTGCAGATCGTGGGACGAACACATGATACAACCTTGTGACAGGATTCTTAAGAGTCTTTGCATATTTTAAACATTACCTCTAGGCTCTTCTGCAGTAATGTAGCACTGTGCTGAGAGAGAGGACTCACACCCTGTTCTTGTGTTGCGCACAGGCCAGAGCGGTGCTGGCAACAACTGGGCGAAGGGTCACTACACTGAGGGCGCGGAGCTGGTGGACTCCGTCCTGGATGTGGTGAGGAAGGAGGCCGAGAGCTGCGACTGTTTGCAGGGCTTCCAGCTCACACACTCCCTTGGGGGTGGCACTGGCTCGGGCATGGGGACCCTGCTGATTAGTAAGATCCGCGAGGAGTACCCCGACCGCATCATGAACACGTTCAGCGTGGTGCCCTCTCCCAAAGTGTCGGACACTGTTGTCGAGCCCTACAACGCCACGCTGTCGGTGCACCAGCTGGTGGAGAACACGGACGAGACCTTCTGCATCGACAACGAGGCCCTGTACGATATCTGCTTCCGCACGCTCAAGCTGACCACGCCGACGTACGGAGACCTGAACCACCTGGTGTCGGCCACCATGAGCGGCGTCACCACCTGCCTGCGCTTCCCCGGCCAGCTGAATGCAGATCTGCGCAAGCTGGCCGTCAACATGGTCCCCTTCCCCCGTCTGCACTTCTTCATGCCCGGCTTTGCCCCCCTCACCAGCAGAGGGAGCCAGCAGTACCGTGCCCTCACGGTCCCAGAGCTCACCCAGCAGATGTTCGATGCCAAGAACATGATGGCGGCCTGCGACCCGCGTCATGGCCGCTACCTGACGGTGGCCGCCGTCTTCCGAGGGCGCATGTCCATGAAGGAGGTGGACGAGCAGATGCTGAACGTGCAGAACAAGAACAGCAGCTACTTCGTGGAATGGATCCCCAACAACGTGAAGACGGCCGTCTGCGACATCCCTCCTCGTGGCCTCAAGATGGCTGCCACCTTCATCGGCAACAGCACCGCCATCCAGGAGCTGTTCAAGCGCATCTCTGAGCAGTTCACCGCCATGTTCAGGCGCAAGGCCTTCCTGCACTGGTACACCGGAGAGGGCATGGACGAGATGGAGTTCACGGAGGCCGAGAGCAACATGAACGACCTGGTGTCCGAGTACCAGCAGTACCAGGATGCCACCGCGGAAGAGGAGGGCGAGTTTGAGGAGGAGGAGGGAGACGAGGAAGTGGCTTAAATTTCCAGTTCTAGCTTCACCAGAATTCACACTTTTTCAGCTTCAACACCTCTAGTTTTTCTGTCACTTTCCTGTTCACTTTCCCCTGTTGTACTGACGAAACCTTCAATAAAAGCACTTGATCTGATTCGCTGTTTGTCTCCGAAGCTTTATTTTAGAGCCGACGCAGTTTCTGCAGACGAGCACAAAACATCTCATGGGGGTCTTGCATCCAAGAGATTAGGAAATGGTTTTACCCTTGCCTAGTCACCAGTTTCCCGGGTTTATGTTAGCATTCCTTTCCCAAGAGGGTGACTTAATACATCTGAGTACCTGTCCTCAGCTGTTTTCCCCACCAGAAATGGCAAATCCTCCTGTGTTTGTACCGCAGTCTCTGCTGGAACGGGTCTTGGGAGCCTAATATGAGCATGAAACATTAATAGACTCCAAAAAAATCATTTTAGGGTCTCAAGCTTAGACAGGCCTTCTGTTTTGCACTGCATGCTCCTGCATGTTGTAGAGTTCAATGTTGAATAGTTCGTGACTGCAGATGAGAACGCTGCGCTGGTGTATTGTGGTCAACAATGGCTTATCTCTGCAGGCCTGTTTCTCCCCATTTAGCTGCTTGTTACTCCAGTTTCTTCTGATTTTTTTTTTTTGTTTTTGTTTTGTTCTTGCTGTACTCTGATTTGTTCGACCTCCCCAACTCCAGCTGCTTAAACTCCAATTTTCTGAATGGCTTTTGAGCTCTGGAGCCCAGGTAAGTCTGGAGTAGGACGCAAGACGCAGGGATGAATCGTGCTACTCCAGGCTTCTGCTACCAAGGTGACCTGGCGTATGAAACCCCGACCCTTAGGGGTTTAGACCTTCAACATCGGCTGAAAACCAGCGCTTGGACGTGTGAAGACAAGGTGATGCATCAAGCCCTGTCTCCACACGTGGGGTAACCATTTACACGTAAAAGGCCTTTAAAGTCTGACTTAATTGACAAATGGACATTTCTTAGCCCTTTCCCATACTGCTCTTCTCCCTGAGAAAGCAGAGGGAAAATCGCACCGTCTTTTCGAGGACTAACAGCAGAGAGGAGCTGATGATCAGAGAGTCACTTTCTCTAAACTCCTTCAAATCTAGACTCAGAACCTTTCTTTTTAGAAGAGCCTTTACTTAATTGGTTCTGTCCTTTAGCCCCTCTGCTCCTACTGTATTCAGTACCTCCATCTCGTGTCTCCTCTCATTGTGCCTATCTTGTGTATTTTGTATTGTTCTGTAAAGCGCTTTGAGAAGCCACCTTTAAAGGTGCTATATAAAATAGTTTATTATTAATCGTTAATCACCATTATTATTAACATCTCCCGGAGTGAGGTGTGGGCTGGTGTGTATCTGCAATGCACTGTTTCTCAGGCCCGGCTGGAAGCCTGTTATTTATACATTGGCTTTTCTTTCTAATTGGAGTAGAATTACAGGTCTTGTTATGGACGTCTTTTATCGTTCCTCTTTATTCTTCTTACCTCCAGTGGTTTATTTCCTTCGTTTGTAGTGAGATCCGTGTGCCTCAAGGCAAGGAAGGTGCGTGTGTGCGTGTGAACTGTGGTGTTGCTTATCCTGCAGGTGTCAAAAGGAAATGACTGCAGAGGGTCAGGCCTTCGTGACAATGACGGTGTTCATCGTTCATATCTGGATTGTTGTGGCTCATTCTCCCAGGGCACGATTACCCGAGTAACAACACCATTTATTGTTTTAAAAGAACACCTCAGCTCCGGCTTCAAACACACCACTCGGCACCTAGAGAGTAAAAGAACAATGTCTGTTTGAGGAAAATGATCACGGCACCTTTTCACAAACACAACAGACACAAACACATTAGGGGGTTGTCTTTCTCTATGGTAACAAGTGGTCTCAAAGTGGCAGAGATGAAAACGTTTGCAACTAATCTTCTTCATGACACTTAAATTCAGCTGGGTTAGCAGGCATAATGATCATAAGGGAATTACCAGGAAGAGACGGGTATGCTTAAATGCGTTTCAATATTTTACGTGTTGTTCTTCACAATATTTAATTGCACCCCACGCATGACAAGAAAGCTGGTTATTTCTGATAAAGGTTTTAGGGGAGCCCGTAAGGAAGTATAGGGTGGATAGTCGGACTACAGCCTTGCAGGATGGCAGTGTGTCAATTGCAGGGTATACATACAGCACAGGTCAGCTTAGAGAGAGTGGTTAACCAAGCCAGCGTGTCTTAAGGAGGTGGGAGGAAGCAGGAAACTGGGGCACCCGGGAGAAATCCCATGCAGACACTAGAAGAACACGCAAACTCCCCCTGGAAGGATCCTCAAGTCCACAGAATCAAAACTCAGATCCCAACAGCTGCGAGGCATCATTGCTAACTGCAGTGGTACAAAGCTTTGTGCAATAAGTGCTTTCCACGTGTTGGCTTAATTTAATAGTGTTTGAATATCTACGGCAAGAACTGTGAACCCTGTCCAGTTACTGGAACAAAAATGAAGCCATCGACTTTCCACGCGGAATTGTAGGTGTGCGTGATCTTTAGATCAAAATGTAGCAAATATTTATTTACCCACCAAAACTCAGTATTGGTTGGGGACACGTATGCACCTGTTGTATATGCTTTGGGAAAGGGTTATAGAATGTTTTACGTTACCGGGAGCCAGTAAAGCATCGTTTTTAATTCATTTCTAAAAATAATAAACCAAAATAAGAACGAGGTGGTACTATCTGAAGGGGCAATATTGCTCACAAATCTTTAGTTGTTGTTGTTGTTTTTCGTGGTGGTTTTTCTCTCTCTTCTTCGGCAGCTTTTACTGGCTAATTAAACATTTCTAGAAGCATCTACAGGGAGTTCAAACCGAACTCAAAACTCAGGGTCGCCGGGCAACGGTACACAGGGAACCTCGTCGTGATAAAGAAGCGCACTCATTCATTTCGACGTATCTGACAACCAACATGCCTCGACAAGTACATGTTAGCATCGTGCTGCTAGGCTACATTTGTACTGTAAACCACAGGGGGTAAAGTCCCCCTCCCCAACCACCACGTCAAGCAAAACAGCGTATCTAATTTGAAGAACAGCAGGCCGGTCGCCTCGGCTGTTGTCACCGTTCCCAACTGAAAGAACTTTCCACCCGCCGTTTCCAACGACAACAGCCAATCAAATCGCACATCAATCATTCAAACGGCCCAATCGCGGCCGCTGTTTCAAACCGGCTTGGGGCCGAGGACCTTGACGGGCGGCTGCATTGTCCAATCAAGTCCCGGAAGACCGCACCGCCTGCGGGAGAATGCCTTAGATTGGCAGGTGCGAGGGCGAATGCCAGGCTTCGTATCGCCGAGGAGTGGGCGGTGCTAAGCGGGAACGAAAAGAGTCGTTGAGGATATATAAAGCTCGGGCTCTGACGGTTACTGGAGAAGAGAGCGGTAGATAACGCGGGCCGGTTGTCCAGCTTTTGTGTCTGTTGTGCGCGGTCAATTTTCGGCGAAAATGAGGGAGATTGTTCACCTGCAGGCCGGCCAGTGCGGGAACCAGATCGGGGCCAAGGTGGGTGATGGTTTAACGGAGAGAAAATGGAGTTGGGCGGAATTTTAATTTGGGACAGCGAGGTCTTTCCTTTTTTTTAAAAAAAAGAAAAGGAAATGGCACCGGTCATGGGCGGTAACGGGAGAGGAGGAGGAGGAGGAGGAGGAGGAGGGGGGGATTCGGTAACACACGTCGACATAGCTGTCGTTTCGTAAAAAATACTAAAGTTTCTGCGTTCCATTTGGTAAAGCTACGCTTATATCCAATTCCTCATTAACCGGGAGTTTTTTTTTTTAAAAAACCCGTATTTGAACGACCCCAGCAAAAAAAAAAAGAGCGAACGGGGCGGTTATCTACTTGGATATTTTGCGATTAAATATCTTGGTGTTAAGCTTACAGGTTAAGTTTTTATCCAGTTCTCTTCTTTGACCTACTTTTACCGCTCCGTCGGCCAGGCCGGGCGGCCGGGGCTGTGTGTGTGTGCAGGTCCGCTGTAATCGGAGCTGGGAAACTAGATCCTCTATCCCATGAGATAAAGAGAGGGAACCAGCGTCTTGGTGTGGATTTCGGTTTTCGTCCACACGTACGTGTGGTACTTCCGATTTTCTGCCGGTGGAGGGGGAAAGAACCGGGAAGCGGTGGAGATCAGCGCGGTGAAATGCCCCGCCGTCAGGCCGTGTGCTTGCGCAGGGGGGGCCCCGGCGCGCCTCGCTCATCTTCCCGCTCAGGAATGCGATCCGGCTCTCAAAATGGCTTTTGTGTGTGTGCGCTGTATTCGCTACCATCTTGAATATTCTTTCTTCTGGTGTTTTATTTTTTTTTTCTCCCGTCTCCTATCGAACAGACGACGTAACGGTCTCCGGAAGGCTAATGCGTTTCGCTGCGTTAACGTGTTGGCGGCAGACGTCTTCGCGTGGCGCTTCCGCCTTGGGTTTTTTTTTATGGCGTGTGATTTCTACCCCTCGATATCGACGATGTTTAATCTCTTTAGATCTTATGTCGGATTTCATTTGAGATTTGCTCATACTAGCAACGATGTAGAACGTTGTCCTTGCAGTCATCCTGGGCTTTTTTTTTAACGTTGTTGATTCTCTGTTGCCGTGGTTACACCGATCTTGGTTCTCGTTTTGCTGTAGTTCTGGGAGGTGATCAGCGATGAGCACGGAATCGACCCAACCGGCACCTACCATGGTGACAGTGACCTCCAGCTGGAGAGGATCAACGTCTATTACAATGAGGCCACAGGTGGGCAATATACTACTATTGTTAAATTTATTTAGGGGTCTCATTGTATTGCTCAAATACCCCCCCACACAGACTCCCCTTGTCCATTTACACCTTATGGAGGTGATGGCCTTTTAACCCAGTGTCCTGAATCTTTCAGGTGGCAAGTACGTGCCCCGTGCCGTCCTGGTGGACCTGGAGCCTGGCACCATGGACTCTGTGCGATCTGGGCCCTTCGGACAGATC